AAGAGTGGAAAGGAAAGGAATGGGGGAAAGGCAAGAAATATTGAAGTATGCAGACAAGATAATCTGAGTAGTATATTAATTTTTATTGAAACAATGGTATGGAAAAATGTGTTTTAGCAAAGCAACATTCCTGTTGCAGAATATTAGTCTTACATGGAGTTAACAAATTTATATAGCTTTTATCAAATGCATAAAAGGGCAAGTCAAAAGAAACTGTGGAATTCAGAAAAGCATGAAACTATTGTGGCATTTCCAAGGACCAAATGCAGAGCCACAATGAGAAGGCACAACTCCATTTAGCCCCGTGTGTGCAATGCAATACAATACTCCATTGCTGGAAAAAAGAGCCATGTGTATAATCTTTGGTTGGACTTGTAGCAAATGTTAACGTTTTAACACCACTGACTCCAGGGTACCAAACAAAGGCAGTATTTTATGTCTGTTAAGTGTTCATATTAAGTGAAGTACAAATGGGACAGGGTTTGTGCTATCTCATTTTCTGTACAAGAATTCTGAAATTTCTGAGGCAACACGAGATTTGGTTTACTTATGGATCCCTCAATAGTCACCATGACTGGCTGAATAAAGAAGTGTGAATTATTCTTGCAATTAGGCTCTGACTCTGAGGCAAATAATCATCATTGTTAAAGTGCATTAAATATGACCTGTGGTTGTTTGATCTGGTGCTCTAATCCTCTCAGCTCTTCTGAACTAAACAAAGGTGGGTAGATCAATAGTGAGATGGTTTCACCCCAAGGGAAGAACAGCATGTACAAGTCAGGAGGTACCACATTGCCTTTTGTATCATTACTAAATACATGTCCCTGCACACTGCACTGCAGTGATCACCTTAAATGAAGACCTCCGTGTATTTGGCACTTCTGAGGCTAAACCACTACCATGTCACTGATGGGATGCCACTTCTCTCTATACCCCATGGGCCTTTCCTTATGTTCATCCCCATCCTACAATGACTTGATACTAGTGAAATGGAAGAAAGATGCCCTATACTTTTCCTTGACTCATTTGTGTTGCCTGTTCTTGGTTGCCCATTCTTTGTACTCACTTGCAGCTGATGGGATGTCACCAGGCTATAGCACCTGCATAAATACCAGGTGGAGATATCAGCAGGCTGGGCCCCTGGATCTGAATGTGCAGAGAGGCAAGCCTAAAAGCAGTGTGCTGGCAGACATGATTTTTCAGAGGTGTAAGATGGAGATAGATATATCTATATGGCACTTTTAGGGTGAAAGAGATGCCAGAACCCAACAAAAAAAAACCCCAATTTGGCCTGTTGTCCTGTCCCAGTTCTATTTCACATCATTACATGGTACCTACCTTCACCCTGCCATCTATGAAATGGATTTGGTGCCCCTTAATTTCTAGTCTAAATTTACTCTTGTCTCTTGACGTGAACTGATGAAGAGCTGCTGCCTTTCACTGGTGTGTGAATGAAATCATCTATTTCCCGGCCTCCCCCAGCAATGCATTTTGGAACTTGCAAAGGTAATGGTGCCTGCAGAGCACTTTGAAAGCCTTGCCCAAAAGGCATGACAACTACGCAAAGAACTACTGTCAATATTAGTGAATCACTTCAGCCAGGAAGAGAAAGCAGGTTTCCGTTTTAGAACAACAAACAAACCACAGCAGTATTTACTGAGCACTTAAAAGGTAACAGCAGCTACATAAATACGAAGAATTATTAAGGTTTCTTTGTGAAAAGGTTAATTGCATGGTGAGAAACAGTACTGCAGCTTTTGAGCCTGTATACAGGCAGAATAAGCACCTTTTGGTTACAGGGAACCCAAAACTAAATCTAGCTGTCTCCAAAGGCTCCAAGATGAAACAGATGCTCCCAATGGGAAGGTTTCACTGCCTAAAAATCCCATGTTGGCTGAATAGTGTCTTTGCTAAAGCTAGATTCAACTTGACTTTGAACAGGACAGAGACAGACTTTGCTGCCCGTTCTCCCGCATGGAGCCCCGCACAGGCTGTGTGCTCTATCAGCCAGCACTGATGAGAGCAAGGAGGGAGCTACAAGCCTCTCCCTTCAATCTGTGTCAGCCCCACATTTCAGATTTTGTTTAGAAATAAGAAAAGCCAGGTATAGCTCAATATCACTCAAAAAAGGAGGACCTGGCATGCTCTCAGAAGAAGGTCAGCAGATGCTCTGTAAGGGATGCAGCATCCCAGATGTTCTTCGCCTGTTGCACGAGAGCCCCAGCTGTGGTGGCCAGTCATGGAGGCAGCTGGACTCCTGACTTAGAAAGTCCTACTCTAAATGGTGGGGAGCAGACATGCATCTTCCCATGGGCAGGCGTAATTCAGAAGGAAGCTCTTTGCTGGGTACCTGCTCCCTCTGGGGTGAGACCACTCTCACAAGAAAATGTGCCTGGCGGAAAGGAGAGGCCACCTGCAGATACTGGACACCTGCATGTTGTTGTCTCAGCTTGCTTACTTCAGCTGTCACAGGACCACTGTTGGCTTGCCCTGTCCTCTCTCCTATGCTCTGCCATCAGGAAAAAAATAGGAGACCCTCACCGACAGTGGATGCTTCCACATTTTTTAGGAAGATTACCTGATCATTACAGCTTCTCTGGTATTAAGAGTATTTATTGTTGACCCAGCATGACTACTGAAGACCTTCTGATGATTATCCTCCTTTACAACTGTGAAAGGGCTTTTCATATTAAGAGTGTGGTTGTTCCCAGATGTTGATCTGAAGAAACTTTAGGGAAAAAGATCAATATAGAGCTAGGCTACCTAGAGTCCGTCTAGTATTCTCTGAAACAGTATGTACATCTTTAAGCCAGTGGGGGCTCCACGTAAGCCTATCCTCTCCAGCATTGCTTGTTAAACAAGTTAGAGTCCAGTCCCATGTAATGCTATGCAACTTAAGTTCCCAATAAGGCTCTTGAGATTTCTGCATGCTCAATATTTTTTAGGCTTTTGCAGAATTGAACCCTGGATACAATCATCCGCTAAGCATCTTGCATAATTCTTTGGTTCTGTACCAGTTTGTCTGCAAGTTTCTGTTAGGCACGACATTATTTTAATTCAAAAATCCAGTAGCATGAATTACCTAAATAGATTTTTCTAGTGTCTTCTCATATTGTTGGAAAACTTAAAACTTTCCTTTATAATGTTGAGTAGAAATGGAATAACAATTCCAGTTCACAAGCAAAGGTATGCCTACGTCTGTTCTCTTCACCAGAACCCTGACTTCTTACTTAACTTACTCATGAAAAGAATAACTTTATGATTTGGTAATATATATGGCTAATTTGCACTAAGTAAACTACATTCATTTGTCCTAGCTCACTAAAAGATTTTTTTTTTTTTTAACTCACAGAAGCAAAAATGCAGCAATTCAGTTGAATCCTAGGCAGACATTTTTTAAGCGGGGAACATTTTGTTTCCTTACAATCTTCTCTGTCCTCAACTTGTTATGCAATTTTTCAGTAATTTGCCAAGGTTTGAAGACAGGTGAAGCGTGTGGATTTAAGTACTGAGCTAACATTATACCTCAACTCACTATAAAATAATCTCTAATGTTTTTGTGGCTAACGGGACTTAGTATATACTGTTTATACAGCAAAAATGACTGGGTTTTAATGGGGTGTTTTACAGCAACGTGGTTAAAATATAGCTCTTCACAAACCATCTACAATTTGCACTGTCTTCCCCACACAGGCACTAGTAGGGTGTTTAAGCGTCTCAACCACAACAAAAGCCAAAATTACTGTTGAGCGTTCATTTGCCACGTCCCCATTAATTAGCAGGCCTGTTCAAGTGTGGCTACGTGCAACCCTCTCACCAGCTGTTGAAACACCTGTACACTGCGCATTTGTCCCTTAACTCCCATCACAGACCTGGGGAACAAGTGCATTGCATAGTAGCTATGGGTACTAAACCACAGTGTCACATATATGCGTGTGCAGAACATACGTATACTACTTGTATAGCATCTGTGCTGTTGTGCCCGACATAAATTTCTGATGTGCTTGCGCCAGTGAATGACATGCTCTGGTTGGTTTGCTCAGTAACCGGTCCTCCTCTACCCACAAAAATGCATAGACTGTAGGGTTGGGGATGGACCCCCATAGCACTGCGTACGCATCACAAAATGCTATCAACTGCTCTGCTGTGTTTCTCTTGCTGGACAGATTGACAGATCAAGATGCTACCACTGAGGAGGATATCTCCTTGCTTATTGTTTGGTTGGTAGCTTTTGGCATAATTTGGAACACTCTGCATCATTATTATGGAGCTTCATGTAGTAGCCAAAGTGTTACCAAAGCCCTGGGCTGGCAGGAGATGTTTTCTGTTGGGATGTCGCAGGTAGGATCTCACCTCTAGCCCCATGCAGCACTTGGAGGTAGAGAGGAATGATCTGAGCTAGCTCTGTCAGCAAAGGGAGGGCAGCAGCAGCACCATGGGGCTTCTCCAGCACTGACTGCATCCAAACAGCTGTGAGGTCTGGGTGTCCTTTTGGCACAAGGGCTGACTGCTCCCGACCCAGAAATGCACCCTGAGGCACCCATTACAGGTGTGTGGCCATGCCAGTACAGGGACATGTGTCTGAAACAGCAGGGCACTTGCATGTGTGGGGATGCGTACGCTGCAGGCGTGGATGAGCAAATGTCGGTGCTGGGACTGGTGGGATCCTGGCGTACAGGCAGGATCATACAGTGCAAACGCAGCTCCCAGGCCAAACCCTGCTCTCGTTGCAGTCCTTCTGCGTTCAGCGATGCCAGGTGGAGGCCTTAGCCCCTGGCGACTCCATGGCAAGGGCCTCGTGCGTTCAGGGAGCATGTACTGGAGAGCCTAATCAGTTCTGCAAGCCTAATCAGTTCTGCAAACTGTCCCAACAAGCCCTTCTTGGGCAGCCTAGGTTTACTGTCATACTACTGCGGTCAGGGCACATCTCTGTCAAGCCACACTCGCTACAGGGCTCCATTAGCTTTTCCTTTGCTTTTCCTTCGTGCGGAGGAGTCGGAGGATGCGTTCATTTTTTGTAAGTTCAGCTGGCAGTTCATTTGCCTGGAATAAAAAACCTTCAGGTTAGCAAAAATGCAGGAGTATTTCCACACCATGGTTTAAAAGCGTTAAGCTCTAAAGAAGATGGTACTGAGCGTTATAACAATGTGCTTACTCCAGTGTTGTCTCCACCACAGTTGGAGATATCTTAAGAAGTCACCTTTCCACAGGTCTTCAAAATAATCTTAGCATGGGATTGGAGTAGTCAGCTTATTTTGTGCCGACTGTCCAGGCTAAACTGTATTCCTTAGGGTCCCTACACTTCTGCCACAAAATTAAAAGAGAACATAGCTGGTGATTTTTTGGGGGGATATAAGGCAGGTCTTTAAGTACCACAGTCCATAAAAATCCAAGGAAAGACTTTAATTGCTATGAAATAGTCAGTGTTATTTTGTAGGATTGGTAATAGAACATCAGAGTTTGGTCCTCTGTATTTATTGAATATAATTTTGGTAACATAAAGCATTTTAATGAAGCTATTTCTGAAAGTCAGTAATTCTCTCCTACAAATGTATTCTGTTGTACCAAACTGCATGTTATTTAAAAAAAAAAAAAAAAAATCACTAGGAGAGGTTACAGTCACAGACTTTCTTATACTGCACACCCTCCTGCTGCAAATCACCATCAGTAGCAGAAAAATCTTGGACATTGCTTGGATGATAGTAGCAAAACAAAATGCCTACTAACGTGAATTGCTGTATGAGGCGTTAACTCTGCTGCCATCAAGTGGAATGATACAGAAATAACAGGCACCACAGATTAAATTGTAAGATATGGGAAAGATGCGTGTGATTTGGGATATTTTTTTGTATTAGCAATGTGCTGAATTCTAACCACGTTTTCATATCAAAGGCACACAGATACACATTTCTCTTGCTGAGGAAATATCCTCTTTACACATCTGTATGGAGATATGAATATAACTTGTGACTTACCAAAACTGTAATGGATTATTATTTCCCTAAAGAGCAATCTAGCTAACCCATGACTAGTTATAGCGAACAATTTAATATGTGGTGCTCCAGTGAGTGAATGCATGGTTTGGTTATTCTCAGATTGATGTAACTTCACAAGAACCGGCATCACCAGCGGCACTGCCTTGCACCCTTAGAGATACTTGTATACAGAAATAAATGGACCGAACAATGCTGCTTCAGGAGAGGATCAAGAGGCAACCATGGACCAACACAGAAACACGGACTTGCACCACGCACGTGGCGCGCACGGCTCTGCCGCTCGGTGCTCCCCACCTGCTCCTCACCCAGGACGGCGTGCCAGGACGTACCTTGTTCCTCAGGCAAGGGTCCGCTCCAGCTTCGAGAAGCAGTGCCACTGTCCTCGCGTTGCCGCTCAGGACGGCCGCGTGGAGAGCAGAGGTCCCGTTCTAGAAAATACCAATGGAGATGTTTGTACCATGCACGGGGAGGAATCAAAAGGCAGCGAAACACTAATAGTTGCAAAGAACAAGCCTATGAACAAGAAAGAAATAACATGGAAGATATTGGGTCATCAAAGGTATAGCGTCTGATTTAGACAGGGTGCTTCAGGCTAGTGGGCTAGGAAGGAGGTGATTTTAAATGCTTTAATAAAAATGAGAGTCAGGTTCACTTTACTGCAGTGATATTTCCCTTTAAAAATTACCCTTGTCAATAGATTAGAGGTGAAATGAACATAGCACTTGCTTCTGCCTGGCAAAATCATCTATTAGCAAGTGAAACAGAAGCACAAGCAGTAACAGAAACCATCTGTGCACTTTATCTTCTTTCTCTGATGATTAATGATCTCAGTGTCAGACAGCTGAATGGTGATTTTTTTTTTTTTTATGGCTGGCCTTTTGTTGGTGGCTGCAAACTGACAGTTCAAATAAGTGTGTAAGCTATTTCATACTTGTAATTAACAACTAAGTTAATTCCACCTGGATTTTCAAGTACATAAAAATTGCCAATTAGTTGCATGCACAGAGGCTATCTAAGTATGTGATTTATAGGCACATAAAATTAGATCATCTATTAAAAAGCAGTTTCCAAATATCTGTTATTTTTCAAGTCACTCTTTCAATTCAGAGGAAAACAAAATGAAGTAGATAATCTGCTTACAACAGATCTCTTAGGATACTATTTTGCTAACTAAATGCAACAGAGGGCAGTGTATAATGCTAAAAACTATACTGTCAAGAGGAATCCATTTACTGTAGAAATAAAATCAGATGATGAAAAGCAGGAGAATTCCTTCTATGACACAATGTGCTTCCTCATTCCAAGAATCAAATTCACAATTTCGTTTGGAAAGATTCATTTGTCTGTGGCATTAAAGGCTAAATAAGATAATTTCATTTTTCTTTTGACTTTTTGGGGCTCAAGCTCTTTATCGTCTTCCACTGCCATTGTCATAAATGTCAGGTCTTTCATCAGACCCTTTGCCTTCTTGAGTTTCTGCCTGAAAGTCTGTGTGTTTCTCTACTGACCTTCAGCAGGCCAAGTGTGGGAGAGAATTTCAGCAACTCTTCTATCACATTGTTGTACCCTTTAATGGCAGCCTTCAGTAAAGCAGTCGTGCCGTCCTTTAAAAGAGAGAGGAAGGTCAGTTCAGTTGTTACCAATGCTTTATCTGCATTCCCCTTGGCTGGAGAGAAACGCCAGCTCTCCCCCACACCCCTGAGAGGAGAGTCTCCTCTGCTCATCGTCTTTGAGGAGGCAACTCCACAACATATGTTACTGGTTTTAGGAGGATTGTTCCTCTGGCAGGTGAAAACTTCAGGGTAAAATGAACCCGTGACACCATACATCATCTTTGTCTCTCATTTATAAGGTCATTTCCATTCTTTTATTCCAGAAGGTCCCTCCAGGAAGCTGTCCCTGACACAAAGGGGAAAAGGGAGACCGTGGTGGGACTTTACAGCCTGGCAAACAGGATGGGCTCTGGGGACATCAGGCCTCCACTCAAGCAACCTTGGAGCCTGAAAAAAAGCTAGGAAGTGTTAAGCTGCAGACAGAGCACAGGAAGATGTGCTACTCACATCCCGTGCGGCATCTCGCTCGGCTCCCCGGAGCAGCATCACTCGCACCACTTCGCTGTGACCCATCTGCGATGCAATCCACAAGGGTGCCGTCCCATCCTGCAAACAGAAAAAAGACTGCTAACGCTTTCACTTCGAGATCCTGTGCTCCCTGGTATTTCACCACCCATGTCTGCCTGCTGGAATGGATGTACTTCAATTCCTCAATTAAATCCTGCATCACAGATAGACATATGCAGAGTTGCTTCCAAAAGCACGTGGGAGCTCAATGTATCAAGTCAGAACCACCCCAGTTGTGGAGTAGAGCCATCCTCAGCCTGAAATGTGCATCACGGTGCGAACACCTAAAGTCCTCTTTGGTTTACCAGTTGTGCTTAAAATACGTAGGGAAATTTGAAATGTAAAGGCCAAAGGTATCCTGTATAGTTTGAACTCTAGGTGGCTAGGTGTGACAGAAGATACAGGCAAATCTCAGCATATGTGGGCAAATTCTGCAGCTGTGTCTCTGTACAGGTGGAGTGGAAGTTTACAGAAGCTAAGGAACAATGCAAGATGATCACCAGCTTTCAATGTTTAGTTACATTATCCACCCTAAGGGAATCTGGTAAAAATGTCCTGCCTTACAGTGATGATATTTCACAAATTTTATCTTCAAGAATTCCTCTAGAAAACAAGGCAATTATCAAGGAATCCAGTGTGAAGCAACCTGGTTTGGAAAAAAATGTCCTAAGCAATCATTATTTCAGCAAAAAACCTCACAAAATAAAATGCACATTCATAATAAGATGAACTTTGTGATGGATTTCCAAGCCAATCCAAAGGTGAGTTGAAGCACTAGAAGTATTTCTTGCCGCAATTAGAATTTAGTTTTGTGTCTTTTCCTCCTTTTGCTTCCAAATGTCCTGATTCTCCAGACTACAGGAGGACTCCAGCAGTTATGTGGTGCCAAACTGATTCTTGTGGGCCTTTAACAAAAGGCTTTGCCTGTATGGACTTTAAGGTAAAAGTGAGGCCTCACGTAGCAGGGTTCCTGCTTCTGCCTTCAGCGCTTGCCAGTTCCTCTCGTCACCCTCAGCAGCCTGAAGACTTGGCAGGAAAAAGGAAGACAAAATACACTGGGGCTTCCAAAAGAGCCTTAATGAGAAGTTTCAGAAGAAAACAACTTTATACTTTAAATAAGGTGTTTCCACCTTGATCAAAGAAGCAATGTGTCTCCTCAGTGCCAATTGAAGATTCATATGACTTGCTCATGCAATCCAAAAAACACATTGTTGAACCAGTTCTCCACTTTCTATGGGCTAGTGACTTAATCCTTTGGAAGAAACATAAACATTATTTCTTCCTTTGATTTAATATTCTGGGCATCCCTTTTTCTGATTCCGACAAAGAGCAAATGGACATCCTGAGATCTTCGGTCTTCTCAAATGGTAAGGAACAAGATCTTTGTCCACTCTTGTATCACTACTCTATAAATTAACTCATGGAAATTAGTGATTGACCTCATTCTAGTATATATTCCATTAATACAATGAGTGTTCTTTGCGATTCAAAAATAACAAAAGGTGTCTTGTATAAGCGCATGTGATGTTAGCATGATGGCAAAAACTGTCCCTCTCCAATTTACAGTGTTTTCCCTACCAGTAAGCTGCCACTTCCTGGTTTTTTTTCTAGTTTCCCCCCACCAGAGGGCAATAGGGACACTGAAAAAGCCTATAAAACTTGGAAAATATCTGAGAGCAGCCTACACAATTTAATCTGCATGAAGATCCAATGCTGTGCAAATCCACGCTTCTATGTACGCAAGAAATGCATGCACAAGAACAGCATGGGGAACACAGCAGCTTTCTTTTACTCATAGTGAAGTTTATAAGAACAACTCTTATTTTCAGGTATAAATGAAAAGGAGCAGAAGGAAATACAAGTGTTGGGTAACATCACTGTTACCGTTAACTGTCCTTAATAGTATTGCTGTTAGACATCATCCTCAGTATCCCAGTGATGGGCTAGAGGGAAAAGTACATTGTAAGAGTGACTGTCTTGGAGGACTTCGCCTGAAGAGAAGAACGATGATGAAGTTGATGGTGGGCTCACATTGACTATTGTCAGCTTCTCTCTCTGAAGCAAACAGCATCTAACAGGCAGGTTTATGCAAACACGTATAGTATTTATATGGAGTAGATGAGAATTCTGTCCATTTTCATGTTGATGTACGCTACAAAAGAGATACTACATTGTACTAAGAAGCCACGTGAGAATTCCTGTGACTTGGAGATGAGTCAGGAAGAAAGTGATAACAGGGAAAGATGCAGTTCAAAAACTACTTTCCTTGCCTTATTCCTCTGCCCACCCAGCAGACTGCAGACTGTTACATTCCTAGAACAATGTTAAATACCCCATGTGTTTTTCAGCTGTGCTATTTCCGTATTTGATTACAAGCTTATATATATTGACTACATCTCATTACATCCAGCAGTCAGCAGTTCTGAACATACTCTGACGGAAATTTCTGATGCTTTTTCTCTTACCCATTAACTAATGACTTTGCTTTGTAGCTTTGAATCTCAGAATTTGCTTGTGGCTTGGAGTTTTAGAAAGGGTCAGATTAGGGTAGGAGCTGAAATACTCCTTGAATTCCCAGTAAGGACTTCCAGGGACAGACAGCCCCTACTCTCAGGCTACTCAGCATCACGTTCTCCATCAGTCTACTCACACCACTACACCAGCTGAATTCTTGCTAATAACAAATTGTTTGCTTGTCTGAAGTCTACACACTATATGGGTTTACTGGCTTTCATATATGTGTAGTTGCCTATCATGTGTTAAGAAAAAAACATGAATTCTCAGAGTATTTTGAATCTGCTTTGCCAGCCAGAGTAAAGCCTGCTGGGACACAGGCTGCCAAGACAGAGTGTAAAGTTCATTGGCAAATAATATTCTTGCTTTGTTTTTGAGTTGGAGAAGCAAAGAAACATCTCCCGCATCAGGCTTCAGACACTGCCCCCAGCTCTGTCTAGACAAAAAGATGACAAAAGAATTCCTGCCCAGCTCTGTAATGTCAGAACAGAAGACGGCTAAAAAACAAGAGAAATGACATTGCCAGGGAAGAAACTCGCCAGGAAGCTTCACTATCTGGCCTTGTGAGAACTGAGCTGAAGGGCCTGCACATGGGGACCCAGCACCATTCAAGATGCTCTACGGTATCAGGACCACCCCCATGGGACTGGGAGATGGGGCATGAGACTGAAGGGGAACTGGTACCCACTACAGCAGCAGGAGGAGACATACAGGGCAGATGCACATGCCTAGGCAGATGAATTAAGCCCCCAAATCCACAAGGTAGAGAGGAAAACCTGGACACCGTGAGGAAGGAGAAACATGAACTCACACCTGGCACTCTGCAGCTACGGCCAGCCCTGTATTCGATGTCACGTTGCTTAGAAAGGTTTCCTACAGCAGCGAGAGCAGTGTGGTTTGTAACTGACAGGGGGAGTCATCTGGCTGGCACCGAAACTGCCCCAGCTAGAGCTACATTCCTCATGACCAACATGCCACCTTCGATCAAAGTACAAATTTGTTAGTAAGAAAGAGACTGAAGTCCATCCAACCATTACTTTACTAATTAAACAGTAAAAAAGTTTCATTTGTTAAGGAAATGTTTCAGGTTACAGTGGGCCCAAATACAAATGCCACGGACTTATCCAGGCATAATCTTAGCAGGGATCGGAGGTACCCTGAAGCAAAGTAAGCCCGTATTGCCAGAGATGAAACAGAGCAGGGACGAACATTCACACAAAGTCTTTGCCTCAACTAAGATTTAAAAATGCCTCATGAAACATTGTGTTGTAGAAATTGGATTAGAGAGCTAAAAAAATATCGTCAGAAAGAATTAGCTGAGCCATTATAATTATGGTTAGCAGAATGCAGGTTTTTATGGCAACATAGCGGGGCTAAATCTAAGGCTCCCCAACTGTATTTTGACCTACTCAAAAGGCATTAATGCATACCTTGGTCCATCCTTCTACATTGATCTTTTAGACTGCATTAATTAACAGCTTTTAACAACTTTTCTTAATCTTGATCTTGGGAGATAGTGTGGAGGGAGCCTAGGAGAAACTAAAGCATCAGTCCAGGGAGCAGCTGCTAGCATAGCTCTGGTGCTGGAGAGGTGGGAGAAGAGGCAACAGGAAAATTACTTTAGTTTGGGCACATAAAATGCTAATCCAGTTTCCTTACACTACAGGAGTGGCAGGGAGACCAGGGAGGCTATGCAGACCCACAGATTCAGCAGAAGTCATATAGATCGATCTCTGCTTCCAGGCTATGATTTGTCAAGCTTTTTGGTGTAGATGAAAGGAAATCTTGAAAATACCTGGCAAAGCTTGTCACATGCGATGTTGTTCACTGTTATTAGAGTTTTCACATTCATTACTCCTGCCTGCTGATTTTTTACTTGCTGCAGTCAATGATAACAGCCACCTGGCAGCCATACATGACTGATTGCAAGGACAAGACCTTATCCCATCAATTTAAAATGTGCAGTGAAGACCCAGGACAGCTACCTTGCCTGCAGGGTTTCAGCAGACCACAGGGGAGGCTGTCTAAAAGCAGGCAAAGATTCCTGCGAAGCCCTGTCTCTAACCAGACATTTCTGTGTGCTGGGAGTAAAGTTAGCTGTGCAATTCCTACATCTGGCTACTCAAAGCAGCATCTAAACGTGCTGTTTAAGCATTGATTTTAGAGTCAAGAAGCAGCTAAACAATTGAGAAACCATTTCTTGGAAACCAAGAGAGCTTTTATGTATGTCTCTGTACACTGCGTATACTTACATATCCCACAGTTAGGAAGTCTCCTGCACCCTTACCTAGCACCAGCGCATGGTGATGCAAGGTGGATCTAGCCCTTAGCCTCCTAGCAGAGACCTCTGAACCAGCCACAAATCTAGGTCATACATATCCTTTAACGATCAAACAGCAGCCCCACTGCCTTCAGAGGAGCTCATGTCATGCTTACGGTTGCCACTGGTCGTATGTGTTTGCAGGATCAGGCCCACTAGAGTAACTAGCTGGAAATGGGGACAGCAAGGCTTTCCATATCTATCAAAAACTTCCAGAGATGAAGGTAACACTCATGCCTGAGTTTCAAAGTGCACAGGGATGACACAAAGTAAAACTAAAAAAGGTAAAACTGAAAGTAAAAGCTTTTTTCAAAGATCAGCTTCAACACCAAAGCCACAGTACTGAAGTACTGGTGATTTCAATATACCAAATTTAGTATTGTCTCTCACTAGAGTTCCCAGATTTCCAATAGCTTTTCCAAAGATTTCCAAAAGAATGCAGGGATGTGGTAGGCTGTGTAGACCTTCACAAGTAACTTGGTACAACAGAAGCAGATTAGTAGTTGCAAGAGGTAGTGCAAGGTCCTTACATCAACATTATATACAGCTGGAGGGTTTTATTTTGATTTATCTTGGTCCCTGGCTCAAACGCACATGTAGTTCAAACCTGCTCAAAGGATCAGTCAGTGGTTTGATCTGCTTTAGTGTGTAAGCACAACTGGTGCAGAGCTTCCAGTTTCACTTCTTCCACAAATGATCTAGTTTGCATGCAAGCAGAAATGACTGGGGTACATGCTTCAAAACCACATTATCAATCTGAACTAAAACACGGACGCAGGCACAGCCACAATCTGCCTACCAGTGAAACACCTCCATGGGAACCTGATACCCGGAGAAAATTTCAGTGTTAACTTTTCATAACTGCAAACACTTAGACCCCAGCTCTGCCCTGAAATATGGAGCTCACCTGCCGTGGCTGGTTAACCTTTGCTCCTGAAGAAAGCAGCAATCGGATGACATCCAGATAGCCTCCTTGTGCTGCCAGGAAAATTGCAGAAGCTCCATCCTAAGAACAAATACATCCAGCTTACCCTGTGTTGAAATTATGCCATTTTTCCACACAAAACCAAACCAAACTGAATCAAGTTCTCATTCGTAAGCCATTATGCTGTGTAACAGCAGATATACAGCCATGCTCAACAAATAATTACCAAAATCCAAACTGTAGTTCATAAAAAACTATGGTAACATTTTCATTCAGTATGCACAAGTACTGATTCCCATCATATATCAAACCAAGCATAAAATCCTGGGTCTGGAATACTAACAGTCTAGTTCATTGAAACATTGGTCTACAATTCATTCCTGTATAGGTTCATTTAGCTTTTATATGTTCATGCAAAAGTGTTCTGCCACATAAACACATGATGAAAACATGTTCAAGTGCTTTTCAAGACTGGAGACTCCAGCACTGAAGTCTGTCCTTGAGGTTGAAGGAGTAAGTACTGTGCCACGCTACTGTGCCACCCCAGCAGCTACCGTGCCACTGCTCTGCCACATCTTGTAGAAGAAACTTCACCTGTAATGTAACAATGTAAAAGCAGCACATGCAAGACAGGATATCTCATAGCCTTATCAGAAATCAGCATTTTCCTGCAAAAAGCTTGTGAAAGAACAAATTCTGCACAAATATGGGATTTGATTTTTCCTCAACATGTTTTCATGTGCAGATGTACTCAGAGTTTGACTTCACAGAAACTTCTTCCTTAGGCAAAAAATTTAAAAGTCATATTTCATTAAGTTTTTTTGATGAAAAAATTTCGAACAGCATTATAATCCATCCAACCAACTAGAAGTGGAAATCTGCATCAAGGGTGGGACAGGTGTTTACCCATCCTATATCCACAGCACTCAGCACAGAGCATGCTAGGGCAAGTTTTCCTAGGAGGTGAGACTCTTTTAGATTAAATACAGACATGGATGAACCCTTTCACTGCATTTCAGATGTGCAAGTACACATTTCATGCCTAATCATGCATATGCTTATCACAAAATACAGAGCATTTTAGTGGAAGCCTGTTCTTGACCTTGTTGGCATACCACTATGTTGGAACGAAATGCTGTTGTCTGCCGAGACATACTGCTCAGCTGCTCCTCTTCCTGCAAAACTTAGCAGACTTAGTGAAGCATGAACTGAATATATTGCCCCAGGGACTGAATTTAGAATATTTGACCTTGATTTCAAGACAAATGTCCTGGTGAACAAGAGAGGTGTCTGTCGGCGCTACAAATGCACACCCCTGGGCCCTCTGAGGGGCTCTTTTCTCTGGTTGCTATGCAAGTATATGAAATATGGTGATGGTATGAGGTCCTTTGCAGGCTTCCTCCAGAGACAGGTATAGTGAGAACACTTCCCTTTAGAAAGTAAACAAGGTTGTATAATATTGAAAGAACTCTTTATTGTAGCATCAATCAAGATGGAGAACCTTGGGTTCCCTATCACCCAACCATTTTTAAAGTTATTAGTCTTTTATACTTGATTTAAATTGATGCTGGAATGAGAAAGCTGTTTTGAGGCTATAACATTTCTGCAAGAAATACCATTTAGTTAGGGTATCGTCTTGTCTTCTCCTCTATCCCTCACGTGAGTCACTTTAAGATTAACACATCTATCTTGATGGTTTTGGGAGGACTACCCAAATGCATGCCTGAAATCCTTCTCATTTGGTCACTTGCCAGTGAAACTGCCAGCCAGATACCACTTTGCAAATGCAGCTTGGCAATATCCCACAAAAGGAGCCAGGCTAACGCTCGTTTTCAAGAGATTGTGTTCTTATTTTATTAAGCAGCCGTTTCTAACTGGTTTTGCCCAATGGCTGAGAGCAATAATAATACGGCTCTAAATCCAGTTGCAAATATTGCTCATTTCCAGGAGAGACAACAAGGAAGTTATTTTACTACCTTCACTTCTAGGTAGGTGCCTGCAGGTGTGGCAGCATGGCTATTTTTAAACCGAGTGGTAACCCCTGGGATTACCATGCAGAGGTATGAATCACTGCCCTCAGATTAGAAAGGCAATTGCTATTTACACAGCAGCGAGGGTGGAACGCCCTTCTTTATAAATATGGGGTGAGGGCAGCACAGAGGTGGGGACCCCCTGTGCGACCACTGCACAGCCCCCAGTGCGCTGGTGGCTTCTGCTGTCGCCAGCCTTCGGCTCTGATGCACGCTCGTGCAACAGCATCCTGCAGATCCAAAGCCAATGGAAATGGCTGAAAAAACTCACATCTCCCTGGGGAACAACTTCTTCTTTATCAGTCTTGAGTGCCCTGGG